CAGACAAACAAGGTTATGTCTTTGAATTCAATTTGTTTTTCTCAAAGTATTTGGAGTTTAGTTTCCAAGCTCAAATAGTATGCTTGATATAGTGCAAGAAACAGTAATAGTGATGTGCCACAGTGTTCAGTGTTGATTTTCATGAATTTCTCTGGCAGATTCTCTGCACTGAGCAAAGCTTGGAAACATAATTGAACAGAAAGCACTGGAGCTGAGTATGTTGATCGACAACCTAAGCCCAACAGTAGTCCATGACTCTTGACGCTCTGCAGTGACTGGATCACTCCACTAAAAGAGCTGATCACAGAGGACATGCCAGTTTCATGGTATTTCTATTTTCCACCATTTATATGAATGGAATTTGAGAGAGCTGTAATGATTCTGAAGCTTTCTGGTTGTGTCTCCATAGTAATGGACATGGAAGCTACGCAGTCCAAAAATGCAAATTATTATCAAGCATCTGGTAGTCAGATTCATATTGATATACTTCTATTTTTTTACTGCATATGCATTTGCATACTTCATTACTGATTTATAGACACGCTTATGTTCATACACCACACAAGATAGCTAACAACAAGGAAAAGCAATCAAAAAGTATAAAATATTCTGAAATGTTCAAAGGCTGACAATATAAAGAGCAACAATGCAACATGGTAGATGTAGATGCCCAAACAGGATACCAAATAATTTGGATCTACTTCTGAGATAGCCCTTTTGGTTTTTGCAGTACTGAAGGAAAACCTATATTTGGGGCTAGACTTCATCAGCCTTTCCAATGAGTCATGGCCATGAAATATTCTTTCAATTCCCTCATTTCTAGTATCTAGATGGTGATGCTGAAAAACATTCAGACAAGAGCTATTATGTCTCCCATGTTTACATTCCTTTGGTTACTTTACCTGCCCCCTTTCTTTGGATGGCTGAATTTTATTTCCAAATGCTCCACTGAATTACTATAGTGATAGAAAATTGGAGAGTAGAAGGCAATTTTTATGGGAACAGAATCCTTATTTGTGTGGAGAAGTACCTTCACTATCATCACACTCCATGTCTGGTTACTGTTCCACTGGCTAGGAGGTATGTAGATGGAATAATCAATGTGTGGCCTACAATTTGACAATTTATCATCGACATTTTTGAAAAATATTAAAGATCATTTTAAAAATACCTGAAAATCCCAGATTTTGTTGCTATTGTTTCCTATTTTATGTTGGAAGTCCATATATATTTTCTATCGGCTTGTAGTAAAATCAGATAACTGTTTATGACAACTCCCCAGTTGGTTTATCATAATACTAAATAAACTCAGAAAGAACAGGAGAAAAGTCTGGGTCATTTCAATCAGTCTGGATGCACCCAATATTACTGTGCAAGTGAAAAAATAGATATGAAGAATAACCCCATGAAAAGGTAAAACTTTAACTGATGTTCTGGTGTTACATTCTGGGCTAATTTTCCTTACAGAAGTTGTTGTTTTTTTTCATTTTGTAACTCCATTAATATTTCTAATAGTTTTGTGATACTATATTTGTTTAATGTTCTGTTCTTTGGTAGAAAATTATAAATAAGCATTATTGTTACTAGAGGGTTTTTTTTAAAAAAAAAAAAACCTGACCAGCTTGGCATTGGTTTCAGTTGCTAGCTTTTTCTATAGTGAATATAAAAGTGAGCATATGCCCATGGGAAACCGGATTGAGAAATGTCAGTTCAAACTGATCGACAGCTGGCTAATGTAAACTGTTTTAAATATTTTTTTTAAAAAAATTTCATACTGAGTCCATCTCCAAAAAGAATCAGATGTCTTCAGTTTGTCCAATTAAAAAAGGGAGAAAGTCCATAGGGGTGTCACCATGAGTTACCACGCTGCTTGACACCAACCAGAGTAATGCCACTGATTATACTATAAAATGTGGAGCACATTGTAAACACCTGCCCCTGCTCAAGTACAGCAAAATATCCCAAACAAGGATTACCAAAAATGTCCCAAGAGCATGCCTGGGCAGAAGGGGGCTAACTGGTTATTTTCATTCCTACCTGTCACTTTCTCTTTTTTTTTAACCACCCTGCATGACTCTAATGCACTAACGTGCATCTCTAACTTGTAAACTGGTTTGAGGATAGGTTCTGTGTTCAATGTAATCAATTTCAAACTGGCTTCAAACAGGTTCTAGACCGGTCAGTCTAATCACCCCACAGCAAAATCAGTTTCCTTTAAATCAGTTCCAAGATGGATTGTAGTGTCAGAAGCTCCCTCCATCACTGCATGGCAGAGAAAAACAGGTTGATTCCTCAGACCATGCTGTGTGTGGAATGAAAGCTGGTGTATGTATGAACTTACAAAGAAAGAATCTAGAAATTTCTCTGGATAATGAACAATCCTCTGAGAGCACTTAATTCCTTTTTTTAGTAAAATATTAAAAGCAAGAAATGGGGAAATACATCCTGTTGGGATGTTTGCTGTACAGCAGAGTTGCAGATATGCTAGAATTTCCATTGGGTATAACGAAGCTTAAGAAAATGTTGGAAGTTGCCTTTGTTTTACTGTGTGAGCCTTCCTAAAGTGGGTTTGTGGTGTTTACTTCCAACACTTTTGTTTAAGTTGTATTGCACCAAAATGATAGATGTAGAACAACCTTCCTTGTGGATACTTCTTTCTTTCCAGATACGATTCCCATCTAGCATCAACTTGATGAATATCATACGACTAGTGTATCTATGAATTTGTGAACTGATTTCCACAGAGTAATTGATTATGAAGAATTACAGATAACCAAAACAGAAAGTGGCAATAAAAAAATAAATAGCCATGAGATTGATCATGTATTCAAGATAGATTTTATCTCTTCTTTCCAAATTTCAAACATACATTATGTAGATAGAACATTAGTGTGAGAAGCTCTAAAACATTTATATCTATGGAATATGCCTTGATATTAATAAAACTGGGAACCAGTTGAGAACAACTAAATCAAATCTAGAGCAGACCAAATGTTGAACTGCTAAATCAATGTGTTCTTTCTGCTGGCCTTTACTCTGTCTATGTTCTTCATGTTCCTTTTTATTTTGTGTCATCACTGATTTACAGGGCTTCCCTAGTTCTTCTGTGACATTTTTTCACCTTTAGGGCTTGTCTGCTGTCAAGATGTGCTGCTTTGATTAATTGCATTTCCTGCTCAACTTCTGTTGGCTTCACTCTCATCTTTATTTGTTAACCTTTACTAGCTTTCTTATTGTGAACTTTTACGTCCCTTAACCTTTTCTTTATTGACTCTCCCACCCAGCCAGGAGATGTTCCATGCTTTGCACTGTATTTTTATTTTCCTTGCATAGCTCTAGCTTTTTCATGTCTTTGAAAGAGTACAGCACTAGTATAATTATATTTCTATAGCAATATAGATGGGAAAGTTCCACCTTTTCACTCTGGGTGTTAATGCACGCATGTATATTTTCTGCCCATATTTCATGGAATAAAGCTGGACCATCACAAGAAAATATACACACTTTTCTACCACTTATGCTAGTTTCCATGGAGCATGTGCAGGCAATACAGTGAGTACTGCAAATTTATAGGATCTGGATATGTGATTTCCCGTGACTGTGGATTACCACACCCCATATTAATAAATAGTGGTAATGTGAATATGTTTAAGTATGGACGTGTTGAAATATGTGTGTTCATTTCACTGCCATTTAATAATATAATCATGGTTGTCCCCCCCCCCCCCCCCCCAGTATCCATGTAAGGTCCCAGAAAGCAATCTTCCACAGATGCAGTGGGCCTGAGCATGCTTGTGTTGAATCTACCTTAATTCCTGTGAAATTTTGTAATGAAAAGGTTTACTTATTCAAATGAATCAGTCAGACCACAGGGATTTTAATTTCAAGTAACAATGCTTAACCCAGTTGATTATTTTTATCTTCTCCCTCTATTCATGTGTTACATTTACTGTGCTCCAACCCAACATAATCAGGATTCCAGCTCTGAAAAAACCAAAGTACATAGTTTTCTGTGTCTGCAGGGGCTTTCTCCCTGCAGGTATACAGACAGTCCCCAAGTGACCAGCATCCAATTTACTTAACGACTCATAGTTAAAAACAGGGGTGAGAAAACAGGAAGTGAGTGAAATCTACTCCTGCGAAGGGAAAATCATTGCTGGGAAAGTTATCATGGTGAAAAGGTGTCTCCACTGAAGTGGTATCACCAATCCTTGTTTCCACAACAAGCCAAAAATGTTCAAAATCCAATTATCACGGAGACAAGAAGTGAGCTGAAATCTTCTGAAAGCATAACAAACGTTACAGGGGTGTTGGCCCTTCCCTATGCTATCCAAAGCTTTAAAATATATTTTTTTGGCTGGAGTTACACTTTAAAAAGATATCTGTTCTGACTTACATACAAATTCAACTTAAGAATAAACCTCCATAACCTATTTTGTTTGTAAATTGGGGACTGCCTGTATAGGCTGTAGGTTTAAGTCCAGAGTTCTTCATATACTCTACTCTGGTAGTCACCTGAGTGTTTGTTATGTGTGCACATTAGAAGGATATTGAAGCAATGCTATCCAGTTTAAATATCCTGGTAGCCATATGTGTTTTTATTCCAGACAGCCATTTCATGTTACTACTTACCACTTACGAATAATAGATTGTGCCCACTTCATGCTTAAAGGAATTATTCTTTAAAATGACATGGACAGTATATCTAAGGTTTTAACATGCTTATGAACATACATTGTAGCATTACAGTGATGATGAAAAATACAAACAATTATTAAAATGTCTCTTATGAAGGAGCCTTAATATTGAGATTTCTTTTGCGTATGTCATGAGGAAGTGATTTGTTGATCGACAAAATGATAATACCCTTCATTTGGCATTTCAATTGATGGTTTCAAGTACACTGTGTATCGTGAAGAAACCAGCTGATACTTTTATATTATAGAGCTACATAAAATGTAAAGCTGTTTTTTTCTTATTCTTAAAAAATCTTTTTCTAGGATGTGTGACACAGGAGAAGGGCTATTTACCTTTCAAACAAGGGAAGGCGAGATGATCTATCAGAAGGTTCATTCTGCAACTTTGGCAATAGCTGAGCAGCACGAAAGACTGATGATGGAGATGGAACAAAAAGCACGGGTAAGGATCTTTCTCCAATATTCTGAAAGGGCTCTACGGAATTAGGGATGTCAAAACTGTGGAATTAGTCAGAATCTAGACTTATTTAAGACACTTAATATCACATGTAGATTATCAAAATAATTGAAGAATTAACAAAATAACAAAATTGCACAAATAAAATTAACAAAATTGGAGACCAGATTTCCACAACTAATATTTTATGCCTGCGGTGAGCCTTGATATGCACATGAAAACATTTTCACATACCTAGTGATGTGTTTCTCTTCTTCCAGATGTCTTTTACAAAATATTAACCACAGGTCTATATCCAGGCATCCTGAGCAACTTCTTTTAAAGTTGCAGTCCAATAGTTTGGGGTTCAGAAGCCTCAGGACCCAGGGCCAAATCATACCAATTCATCCCACCAGCCTTCTGAGATGGCCAGATTCAATTCCTTGTACCTATCTGATGGTTTTCACCATACCAAAATAGTAACACCCCCAACCCCCTTAGCTTAGTATTTAAGACTATTTAAACTAAAATAGGTTGGATTTTTTTTTTTTTGCCCCAGTCTTTTGCCCAGCTTACCACTACAGCGTGACTTCCAAGATTTCCCTAAAACCAAATTTGGCTTTTAGGTTGAATGAAGTGTCCTATCCTTGTTCTAGATATTCATCTGTAACCACATCTAAGGTTGATTAATTGGTCTTAGATGTAAGCAAACTTATATTGGGTTGCACTTTAAATAATGCTAACTATTCCATTTCACCGTCATAATAAATCATAACCTTTTTCTCTCAGAAAGCCTGGGATACGCTTGATAAAATAATCTTCTTTAAAGATATGGAACCTCACTATTATGAATAAAGCTATATATTGTACTCATATAATGAAAGACTGATTTAAAAAACACTAACAAATTCAGAGAAGCAGAAAAATACCTCAGAAGACAATGAGATCTAAATGACTCTTTGTCCTTGATATGAGGATTTATAGCTAGGCATTTTTATGATAGGCATGTGTTATAGCTTTCAATCTTGGTTTGTCATATATTAAATATGCATTAAGTTATAATTTTATTTTTGATGACACAGCTTTAGATGATGCATTGCTATATGTATAACCACAATATGTGTTGTTGTTTATTTGTTGAGTCGCTTCCCACTCTCCGTGACTTCATGGACCACAATATGTACATCAATGATATTAAAGATGAAATCACAGTCAACATGCATAGAACAGCAGAGGAGGGAAACAATTTATTATTTGATTTATCAGTTTGATTGTCCTAGATATTTATGCTTACTTGAAAGTAAGCCCTGCACAACTTAACATAGTTCATTTCTATGTAATTGTATATAGGATTGTGCTGGTAATATATGTACACATGAAGGAGGCTTATTAGAACTACTGAGTAGGTGATCTAAAGCAGAAACATTTGTCACTGTCACCCCATGCTGTAACCTCTATTTCAGTCTCTTTCGTTAAGTTCATAAGTAACCTGTAATGAAAGGTGTTTGTTCCAGCAAGTATTCTCCTTCTCAGTGTCCACTTCCATAGAAATGCCTAAAGAGCAAGCTTCCAGTGAGGCAAAGTAGGTGATCTCATTAGTCACTTAATAATTTAGATGGACTCATTTTGACAAGATAGCAGGAGTTCTTAACTACCTCCTCCTTTTTAAGCATTGCCATCTCCTTTGCAACTGTCTTTATACCTATTTTGAGGAATAATGGTGGAAACTATAGCAACAGTCAGTTTGGAAAGAAGCTTGCATGCTTTTTTCCACTCTTATAAAAACTGCTATCAAATAATTTCACAAAATTTCTCCATATATGCTCAGCTCTTGCCAATGTATATTTCATAAAAATGTGAGAAAGAGCAGTGGGCATGAAGTGGTGTTCTCCATGGCAACAAGTGCATATCTTTGCTGGTTAGTTAAGGCTGGAAGCAGCAGTGCTGCAGTAAGGAGCTCTGAATTAAAACTGAGCAATGTTCTGTTCAAATATATATATACCAGTCTAACATTGTCATCTATGGGCTGGCAGGAACTTAAATATTTAATAATGTAGGAGATGTGGCAACGTTATAGCATATCTATTATTAAATGCCTTGGAATGTACACTTGGAAAACTGAAAGAACAAACTTCATTGAATTGGATCCATTGTGAAAACAGTGTTTATGCAACCAGAACAGATACCACTTTTAAGGTTGGGGTCCATGCCAGTTTCACTAGTAGATACTACTTTTCCCTGCTTCCCTTTCATGTTCACCCTGTGATTTACTGTTATTTTTACACTGAAGCTAATAGTGGCTTCCTAGCTCAATCCGAATTTGAATAAGTGAAAAACCAATTCTCTCTAGTCAGACTTGGAATTAAGATTATTATTTTTTTTAAAAAAATAAACAGCCTTTGGTTCCTAATATGGAAAAAGATTAGCTATTCTCTATCTAAGCCTCTTATGAACTTTGCCACAAACACCTTGATGTTACTAGGGCCCAGTCTGCACTGTTATTATAATGCAGATTGAACTGGGTTATATAGCTGTATGGACTTATATAATCCAGTTCAAAGCAGTTCAAACTGCATTATATGGCACTGTATCATAGAATCAGAATTGGAAGAGACCAAATGGGCCATCTAGTGATTTCCATGCAGGAAAAGCACAATGAAAGTACCCCTTACAGATGGCCACCCAGACTCTGTTTAAAAGCCTCCATTACACTGCTGAACAGCTCTTACAGACGGAAAGTTCCTCCTAATGTTCAAGTGGAATCTCCTTTCCTGTAGTTTCAACCCATTGCTCCAAGTCCTAGTTTCCAGGGCAGCAAAATACAAGCCTGCCCTCTCTTCATTTCACATATTTATACATGGTATCATGTCTCCTCTCAACCCTCTCTCCTACAGGCTAAACATGGCCAGCTCTTTGAGATGCTCCTCATAGGGCATGGTCCCCAGACCTTTGATCATTTTAGGTGCCCTCCTCTGGACACCTTCCAGCTTGTCAATATTTCTTTTGAACTATGGTGCCCAGAATTGGACACAGTGTTCCAAGTGAGATCTAACCAAAACAGAATCAAGAGGCACATTACTTCCCTTGATCTAGACACTATACTCTTTTTGATGCAACCCAAAATCCCATTGGCTTTTTAGTTACGTCATCACATTGTTAGCTCATGTTTAATTTGTCCACTAAGATTTCAAGATCTTTCTCACATGTACTGTTGTTGAGCCAAGCATCACGCATCTTGTATCTTTGCATTTCATTTTTTTCCTGCCTAAGTCTAGTATCTTACATTTGTCCTTGTTGAAATTCATTTTGTTGGTTTTGACTCAGCTCTCTAATCTGTTGATGTCATTTTGCATTCTGATCCTGTCCTCTGGAGTATTAGCTATCCCTCCTAATTTGGTGTCATCAGCAAACTTGTCAAGCATACACTCTAAACCCTCATCTAAGTTATTAATAAAGTTGTTGAACAGTACTGGGCCCAGGATTGAAACCTGCATTATTCCACTAGATGTGGCCTAATAGTGGAATACTACCCGGTCTAGAACTGTCCTGATGTTTGTGATGCTTTCCTTGCACTGAAGTAGACAGCACCAGGTTAGAATCATCTCTCTGATTGTCAAATCATCACAAGACCTTTTTCAGCTATATAAGCAACCAAATAAAGAGAGGAAACGTCTTTGCCAGCTTGTTATGTTAAGTAACATAAGCAAGAAATTTCTCTTAAAAATATATGTCTCCTGTTTTGGCATAGGACAGATGGCTTAGGAAAGTATGGGGTGCAGTTTTTGGAAAACCTCTCATCTGCTTCCCACCCAAATAACCTACCCACCTAATTCTATCTCACCTATCTGCCCCTCTCCTTCAGTCCATAAAAACTCTTTTTTATTATTCCTCTAATTGCAACATCTCTTACAACTAAAGAAGGAAATTATGTTACAGTCTCCTCAATATGAAGCAAAAAAATTACAAATGGAAGAACATAAATATATTCTCTCAACCCCATTACTCATAATTGCTTCCTTGTCTCATGATCCAGTCACTCATTGCAAGACCCATTTCACTCTGTTACTGTTCTTGCAGTGGATGGTGGCATTTTCTCTCTTTCTTCTTGTCTCTTGCCTTACATATCCATGTGAAATCATGTTTTCCCAGCATTACTGGTCCATATAAATAGTAAGAAAGTCTACATTATCCAGTGCTTCCATCACCTGCCCATATCTCTCAGAGGCATTACACACACTCGAGAAGTTTGTTGGAGAAGGGGCACATATATATTTCCAGTGTCTGAGTTTTGCTTGGAGAATATTTCAAAATGCCATGACAGCAAGTTTGAAAACATAATGGAAAGGACAGTGAAAGTAGGATGGGCCCCTCATGCTGAATTCTGATTTGCAAACCATAGTTTACACTGTACTATAGTTAGATTTATCTGTTTGCTTCAGTTCTATCAGTCTTTATGTTAAGGCATAATGACCCTAATTGCACTTTATTAGTGATCTAGAACTGTCTGTACGCCCCATTCTTTTCCGAAATTCTATCCTAGTTATATTTCACCTGGTCTTGTCCAGCATTATTTTTAAAATTTTAACTATTACATTTGGCCCAGCCATTGGTTTCTAAATGTTATTGTGTTATTGTTGATGTTTACTGCCTATTTTTGTTATGAGTTTTATTTTATTGTTTGTATTATTGCTGTTGTTGTTTTTTGCTGATGTATTGTGGGCTCGGCCTCATGTAAGCCACCCCGAGTCCCTCGGGGAGATGGTAGTGGGGTATAAATAAATTATTATTATTATTATTATTATTATTATTATTATTATTATTATTATTAGGCAGTTCAAACCTTGCACTTGTGTAAACTTGTCCTTTATGTAAATGCTGCAAGTTGAAAAACATGGGAAAACCTCTGAAAAAACATATGGGCATGATTTATCCAGACAGATAGGCTAGTCAGAAATTGGTTTAGCTTATATGAGGCAAAATGTTGAAGTAGAAATTCTCCCGATTTG